AATGCATAGGCGACGACGTATTCGAGGAATGCAAAAAACAACGTTTCTGTGGATGTTTGTAGTTATGAAGAAGAAATCATATATGGGAGGGCATTACTTTCGGGCTCAGATTTTTTATAAGGGTCTATAATACATATGTATGTATTTATGTATCTTTAAGTACATATATGTATATATTTCCGTTGCGGATATGGATATGGGGGAATGGTAAAGTCATGTTTGGAGAAAACTCATCTCCATGGAAACACCAATTCTCCATTTCATTCTCCACTTCACACACACACACACACACACACAGATACACTTGATCAGTCATTCGAACGGAAACGGAGGCCGATTACGAATGCCGATCACAGGCGAAGAACACAGAAGTGGAGGGACAACAAGTGAAAGAAATACAAAAAAAAAAGGGGGAAAAGTAACCAAATGAAGTTGAAAACGAAACGATGAATTATTTCATACTCGCGGGTGATCAAAAGTCGTTATTATTCAAATCGCATCGCCAACTGATGGAGGACCTTAGCTGGGGAGACTTGATATAACGATATAAAAATATACATTCTTATACATATAGTCTCCAAAATGGACTGTCTTAAGCCAAATAAGGATGACACGTTGAAGGAGCAGAGGAAGCAGTACAAAAAGGAGAGAGTATTTGTGTGACCAAATGGAAGCAATTACATTTAATTATTTATTTACAATTTTCATTTTTAATAAAACATATTCATATAGTTAACTATTAAAGCAAAGCCAGCTCACACCTTAGGATTTAGTTAAAGGGAGTGTAATTTCGGGATGTTGCACTGTAGTTGATTGTGTGTCGCCGGTTTTGCTTCTCCTTATTTTTTTGTTGTTCTTTTTTGGGCGGGGGCGTCGACTTAACACACACACACACACACACACGTAATTTCGCCGAGATGGGAGCGGGAAGTTCAAGTTCAAATTTATTTTTATTATTTCATTCTGGGCGCCCCTCTTGCTCTCTCCCTCCCCACTTTTTTCCGGTCTGCAGTGGCCAGAGAGAAAAAGGCGGCTTTTGGGAGAGAGCGAGCGCCGTTGGCAAGCGCAGCTTAAGCGCATGCGCCCACTCTCGCTCTCTCACCAGTTTCTACCACGGTGCAGCGGCCAAGAAGCAGACGAAGAAGAAGAAAAAAAGATAGTGAGAGAGCAGCAGCAGCATACATATACTGCAGTTGGCAAATGCAATGCCAAATATGGTTATACGCATCAGACACAGCACCAAAAAAGCTCAATCTCTCTCTCTTTTTTTGGGGCCTCTCTCCGTGGCTTATGCTGCTGTGTGTAAGCCTCTCTCTGTCCCCCACCCCCAACCCAAGCCCCCCTCATTTACACGCATTGATTTATAATGCAAAGTGATCGATTGCAAGCATTTTATGGCTCATTGGAAAAACGGGAAGTGGAAATGGGAAGGTTAAAGGTGTGTGGCAAATATGATAGTGCGCCATGTGATTTATGTTTCGGCGGGTAAGGAAACAATTCACTAAAATAATCAACTACTGGGTTATACCTTTGGTTTTGCAATAGGTGTTTTATGTGGCAAAGAAATGCATTCTTTTAATGGTAAGTTGATATTTTATGCCTGCTCCTCCGTGATCATTGAAGGTGCTATGTATGTATATTCGAGATGATGTACATATGTATGTATGTATGTATGTACATAACCATTTATGTAGATTTCCAACTGCTGCATCAGCTGTGTATTTCGATGCGTACATAATGTGCATTACAAGCATACACATACATATATACATATATATGTACATATGTACATACATTTGCTTCTGCGCTTTAAGTTTTCCCGCAGTTCTATGCTTTTTTTGGCCCGACGAATTTTCATGCCCTTTTTTAGACACAAAACATTGAGCCACAAATGGGTTTTCACTTTTTTTCTCTCAAAACAAGACCACAAATTATTTGAACTTGTGAGGCGATCAATATATACATACAATGAAACTAAGCGATTTAAGATTAAGTATTATATTATTACTAGGAATATACAAATATGTATATAATTACTTCTGAATACAGCATAATTCTTAAAAAATAATTGCTTTAAGCTGCAAATTCGATACTCTATTCTAGATCAATAAGACCGCAATGTCAGAGTTCAAAAGGTTAATTCAGACAGTTACACGCGTATAACGGCTTAATATCCTTATCAATAACATCAACTGCAGCTGTTTTCGTTTGCCAATTGCTCTTCGCCCGGCATTTTATGTCTCTCTCTATACGTACTCTTCTTTCTCTTTCACACGCTCGCTCTTTCTTCTCTCGTTTAGTGCATCTGTTTTGTGGAAAAGTGAGGTGTGGTACAGGGCCGGATAGGTGTGGTGTATTAGATTAGCGGTGGTGGTTTTCACATTTCCATTTAACGGGAATTCGCCGCACTTAAACTTACAACGAAAGCAGAGAAAGGCGAGAGGGAGAGAGAGGGAGAGAGAGCAGGACGATGGCATAACGGTAAAACGCAGGCGCCTCTCTCACCCGCAGCACGTGCAAATATTCACATGTGTTCCTTTCGCCGGCCGCTCTCACTCCTTCGTCCTCTTTCACCTTCTCTCGTTTTCTTGCTCTCCAAAAATAAATATGTATGTATGTATGTATGTATGTATACACATACATAAGTATCTATAACGGTAACCCCGCTTGACCCCGACCCGAACCTCCATTGCCACCCATCTTGAAGGTTAAAGCGCTTAAAGAAGCTTCTAGCACAATGCTAGGGCACATCTACAGTATGCTGTCTACTATAATATTAAAAATGTAGAATGCATATTTCTATGCATCTTATCAACCAGTATTTTGAATATTACAAAAACAAGGCCTTTACCTTTGATAATGTCGAATACCTGTAATTTTCATTCGTAAGGTTAGCTCACTTATCGGGGCCGGTTTTCAAGGCCTTGTTTCTATTTCAAAATATGGTGCTTCCTTGGCGCGTTCTTCCTATTTTCATTTTCAATTTCATGTAATTCTCGTGTCGAACTATCGTTCTTCCTTATCGGCAAATGGATCTTTCAAGACCCTGAGGCTCTATTCGGCAGTCAATCAGCGTTGATAATTATGTATGGCCCCTAATGATCGACAGGTGAAAATGGGTTGGCGATTGCTTTTTATACAATTTTGCCTATTATCTGCACAGATGTTAAATGGAATATTTTGTTAATAAAGGAAAATCGTATTTTCTCTTCCCTGATATTACCAAGTGTTACGATACTACTTTAGTGCCATGTAGGCGTGCATACAGTTCCATTTATCTTATCCATTCTCCACCTGCGTCAAAAGCTGCTATAATTCACATAGTTAAATGACGTAGGCCCAACTGACGCAAAATAGTGATTTTTAAATCTTTAAAATCCATTGGGGTTACAAATAGAATATTAAATATGTGCATAATTGCACTTTTAACTAAAGTTTTAAAACTCAAATTTATATTTATGACAATAGTTGAACACAATTAAATTAGATAGATTCCACGCTTTTCCTGTGATATACAAGCAATACAAGTACAAGAACAAGATAGTTTCTTTGGCAAAAAGTCATCCCCACAGATGTTATGGCACCCCACCAATAAAATCACTCAAAATAACCTTTCTGCGATCAAATGATAGTGGCTATATAAGGTGAATAGTTGTTGGAGAAAAATGGAACCATCGGGCATAGAAAACTGAACACGCCGGTTGTTAATCTAATCTGGCTAACGGTAATGATAATAATAGCGATTCCGTTCCATTTCGTTCTCGGGGTTTCTCGATAAGATTGTCAACGTGATTACGTAATATATATTTTTTTTGTTCAGTTGAAAATAAAAAGGAAATGAACTTAATAACGGTAATGATGATAAATATACTTTTGAGATTGATAAGGTGGTCAAATGGCTTTATAAGGTGGGGATTTTGTGTGTGCTTAGCCCTGAGAATACTGAAAAATATCCGTTGCATGTGATAATGTTACCGATTTTGGATCGGAAACCATTACACTTGAATGGGTTTATTTTATTTACACATGCTCCAATAGTCACTATGTGATCGTTACAGACTCACGTATGTACTTCATGAATTACCCGAATGCCTTTTTTATGGCACTTGTTTCGAACAGATAATGCCACAGGCATATACATATGTATATAACCTACCAAATAAGGGCAAAAAGCAAGCCAAACCGAAAGCAAAGCGTACAAAAACGTAAGTCAAAAAAAGAAAATAGGAAAAATATAATCAAGGCGAGGCCATTAGCTCGAATGTCACGCCCAGTGGGTCATAGTTGATATCGGGACAAGGCCAGTTGAATGATATATGTATATTCCAAAATAATTGTACCAGGTATTCCTTCATTAAATATTCAAATTACAAAAATAACCGCCATCCAGTAGGAATTTTAGGAGGGATCTGGCAGTCTTGATTTTGGTTTACACTTGTCATCTAGAAATTTATAATAATAATAATATAACAATAAAATTGAATACTATATTCTTAGCTATTTCAAATTATAAAATTCAGAAGAATTCGAAAATCATGTGGCGACATCTAGCGGAACTTGATTAATACTTCCCAGTCTGGCAACCCCTTTAACCGATTAAGGAATTCAGCAATAAACACCGATATACGCGACAATCGATATCGTTGTTTTGGTTTAAATATTTTAAATATTTCTTATTATTTATTTTTAACTGAAACCAAAAATATATAAATTTCCCTCGAAGATATACTTTACTATATTTATTTAATGTAATGAGTGTGATACAGAAAAGATTTCAAGCAAACCAAATGGGTAAACAAAAAATGATTTTCGGAAAAAGTCATTTTAACAACTCTTCTCTTAAGCAGAAACAAGAGAGCTGCCAGATCAACAAGAAAGCAAAATTTGGCTAATTATCGATACCCCAAACGATAGCGATAACAAAGCAAATTTGGTGCTGGTTAGAGCTGGCCAATTGTCGATACCCCAAACGATAACTTCTTATACAGTTTTCACATCTCTCTCTGCATAGAACTAAGAACAACAAACGCTGCGATCTGCGATAAAGAGGCGCTATAATTAGCCGGCATTACTCACAAGCCAAAACGTTCCTTAGCCCCCAACCCCCCCAAAGGTGTGTGTGTGTGTGTGTGAGACATGCGACGGAAGGTCCTTTTGCTGCTCGTACTGGGCACTGTTGCAATGGCGGCCCAGTTGTACGACAAGGAGATGACCGTCTATGTGGACGCCGGTCAGCAGGAGTGCCTATACCACACCATGCACGATGGCGAAACCATTGACTTTGAATACCAGGTGATCGATGGCGGACACGGTGACCTGGACATTAGCTTCACCCTGCTGGATCCCATCGGTCTGGTGGTGGTGAAGGATTTCAAGAAGCCGGAGAACATCCATCGTCACGAGGTGACCAAGGAGGGCGACTATCGTTTCTGTTTCGACAACAGCTTCAGTATGTTCAACCGGAAGACCGTCTTCTTCGAGCTGATCGTAGAGCGCGAGGGCGACGAGCTGCAAGGGGACACCCAGTGGCACGAGGTGGACGATCTGGCGGGTCTGTCGCGGGACGAGTACTATGACATGAAGGTGCAGGACATCATGGACTTTATTGGTCGCATCCGCTTGCAGCTGAACAAGGCGCGTCAACTGCAGGATGTGCTGCGTTCGCACGAGGCGCGAGACCGTAATTTGGCGGAATCGAACTTCCAGAAGGTCAATCAATGGTCCATGTTGCAAATCAGTGCCATGATCGGCGTCGGACTCATCCAGGTCTTTATGCTGCGCAGCATCTTTGCGACCACTGGACGGATGCATCATATCTGGCGGAAGCTGGGCATTTGATGGATTCCGGGAGCAGGAGGAGTAGCAGCCTCTACCAAAGATGTGCATTTATGTTGCCAGGAAACCAGCTAGTTAGACTGTAATTTCATCCAGCTTGCCATCATCATTTGTAGCTCATTAGTTTCTATATATACTGAAGTATATGGAGCATATTATGTGTATTTCTATATATTACCTATGCGGGTGTGTGTGAGTGCTGTGTGAATGTGTGGGTGAGTGTGCAGGCATTGTTAAACGAAAGCAATTGTATTATTAAGCCAAGAGTTGAGTTTGATATTAAATTTAACGTTGAGGTGTCACTGAAATAAGCGTGTTTTAACTATTTCCTATTTAATTTATGGATGTTTTAGGGGTTTTGAACGTTTTTAGATTTTATATTTCTTGGGATTTTGAGTTTTGTTTGCAAAATTGATGTACCCGGACTGGTATCCTAACTTTAGACCTCATAATTAATTAGTTTCATCCATAGTTTATGGTTTTACCTAATTTCCTCTTGTGTTGCCTTTTATCTTTGCTTAAACAAAATACAAATAAGCACTTGAGACAATATTTGTTGCTTTTTTTAGATAGGAGACCCTTGCTTTAAGTAATTATTCATGTTAAACTTGGAAAATGTTTTACAAAAGCGATGCACTTCAGTAATTAACAAGCTTTTGTACTTTTATCTTATTAAATTAAGTGAAAAACACAATTTTAATGTAATCCCTGAGCTTATTTCGGCAGGCAGTTTCCTGGAAGAGCTTAAAACTTCTGTAGTTAATTTTTATAATGCACTTAGATTGTTTAACAAAAACTGCTCGCCTTCAGGGTTTTCCTCAACAATTCAGACAGATTTCCATCAGTTCCAATAGTTTAATTTGTATGCTTCCCTTGGAAACATGTTTTTTTTTTACTAAAAACTAATATAAACTCCTCCAGTCCGCACTCCTCGAGGACTCCTCACCAGGATTCACGTTTTCTTTTTTGTTTTAATCGTTTAATTTGCACTAATTATTAGACAAAAAAAAAAGGGGTAAGCATATCCGCATCATTACTAGCTTGGTGTTTATTTCCACTGGAAAGAAAGCTTGCAACAGGCGGCGGCAGCGACGACCACAGTGGCTTCTGCTGCCGAATGATGGTGTGTTTGTGTGTGTGTGTCCGTGGGCGCGGAAAGAGGAGCTGGAGCTAGAGCAGCAGACGACAGGCGGAGCTGGTCCCAGCCTAGGCGGCCTTGTTCAGGCGCTTCTGACGCTCCAGCAGACGACGTTCCCGCTCGAACTCCTTCATGCGCAGCACATAGTCTTCGTACTCGCAGGTGAGGTACTCGTGCTTCTGGTGGGCGCACTGGTACACAAAGGGAAACTTGTCGGTGCGACACGCCTGATAGGCGATGGCCAAATGCGCACAGTAGTCACGCGCGTCCAGCGGCAGCTTGGCAGACTCCATCTCCTCCTGGGTGGCGATCATCACACGCTCCTTGCGCGACTCGAAGCCGAGCATGGGATCGAAGGTGGTCACCACATCGGGGCCGGGCACCACATCCGGCTTCATGTAGTGGTCCAGAGCGTTGCCCATCCTGTGGGAGGGGTGAAACAGAGCAGTTAGTGGGCTGGCAAGGACCAGGGAAATCGCACAGTTCAAGTTAAATTACGTAAAATGTTTCTCTTCAATTTCTGCTGCTGCGGCACAGCTGTGAGCACGTCGATGACACTATCGATAGTATACGATGTTCTAAAAACTACGATAAATCGATATACCTTTACAACATCGAACAAAAAATAATCTATTAATTGTTTTTAATTAAAAATAGAGTACTTAACATCTATGAAATCGCTATTTTTTTTAATCTGTCCAACTGTCTGGGCCCTCCCTCTTTCCTATGTGTTTTTATTTTGTTTTGTGAACTTGCCAGCTGCTGCACGGGGCTGCCAACTGGGACGGACTTTACGTGTTGCCCAACACTGAACCAGTCAGCTGATGGGCAATGTAAATTAAATTTCAAAATATATCAATTTTTTTAACGGTTTCACCTTTTTTTTATGTATGTGTATATTTTGTAAACTTTAGCCAAGCGTAAAATTATTATTTTTTAAACATCGGCCCTATGTAGCTGTTAACTTTTGTACAAAAATATATTAATATTATAATATTATATTATATTATTAATTATAAATAATATTAATATTATTACAGGTTCTGAAATATTTGGCTTAAGGTTTTTTATATTTTATTTAGTATAAACTATAAATATTTTAGACGACCTTTCAAAGCTAAGAATAACTACTTGTTTAAGATTTTATTTTTAAAAACGATTAAAAAGCTTATTTATCAAAATTGATATATATTTAATAATTAAATTGTAATCTTGGGGTCTTTTTATGAGCAAAGCAATGTATTTTGCATAAACAAAAACTTTCCAATTGTCTAGAACTCGCATTTCAACAAAAGGACCTATAAGTTAGTTTTTCGTTTAACAACACTGGGCGACGTCAGGAGACAGCTGTGCCTTTCGCAGGAAGCGGCAAGAAGCAGAGCCTCTCGCTCTCTCATTGTACCGTTGCCTTTGCCGTTCCGTTTTCGTTTTCGTTCGTTCGTTCGGTACGTTTTTTTTTTTTGTGTCGCGAAGTTAGTGGAGACAAGACAAAAAACGGCAAATGGCGCTGCAAATTGGCAAAAAACCAAAGACGAAGACGGGAAAAACATGTGCAGTGCAATGGAGCCAATGCAAATAGTTAATTTATAGTTAGTAATTCAGTTCGCAACTGCTGTGCAATAAATCTAGCCAAAGCAAACGTTCTAACGGTATAAAGGTAGCAGCGAGTAGAGTAGAGAGCGCGTGTGGAAGAGAGAGGGAGAGAAAAGTGTGTGTAGAAATATATAGAAAATATCGATTGGAGCACTGGATTCGCGAGGAGATCGGCCCAAAATGGTGGGCCTGCTAAATCCGCTAAAGTATGGCGACCACTTCTACGAGCTGTACACGAACAACACGCGCAGGTAATCCCCGCCAGCGGAGCATCCCGCTCACCGCTGCCGCACATCCCACATCCTTCTCCTCCTCCCTCCCCATATTCCACATCCCAGCCGCAGTCGCCAGCCGTTGCGCAGTCGACACGGGGTGGAAAAATCGATCGGTGCACTCGGCTTTCAATCTGGGTCTTCAACCCCCAAAGCCGCACACACACATACACATCGGCACACTCGCTCGGCTTGGATGGCGAAGCATTTGAATTTGGGGGTTGCAACGGGCGGAAGTGGCCAGCCCTCAGCGGGACGAACAGCTGAGCGCATCAGCTGATTGGACTGCCGACTGCCGCGACCTGCATTAACCCACTAACTGCCAGTGGGGGTGGGGACGTCAGTGGGTTAATGGGGGTAGCCCTTATTTATTAAATTTTGTTAGTGCAGAAATTAATTGAGTTTAAATTAGTTTGAGGTTTTTGTTGTTTATATTCTTTACTTCTTTAAAAAATCGAAAGCTTACATATTTTTTTTAAATTCTTCTGAGTAAATTTTAAGTAATTTTAGAACTTTAAGCTCGAAAAAGAGCCTTAATATATTATAATTTTATTATACCTTTTTCAAGTTTTAATATTAGACCATGGATAATATTAATATTATATACATATGTTGATATTTAATGAACAAATTAATGAAACAAAAATCGATTTCTTCACCCCCTGACAAATTTGCAAAGAAGTTGTTCAAAGTTTATGGCCACGTCAGAAAAAAAAGAAAATAACCTGACCTCCCAGTTGCAATTGACGTCCGTTAAAATTTTAAAGCTGTAATTACTAAAAAATAATTGCAAAAAGTTTCAAGTCGATAATGCAATTAGCTTTGCAGTAATCAAGCAAAGAGTGAACGTGTTAAAACTAGGTTAAAACTGAAGGTTAAAAACTAGACACAAAAAATTATATAGAAGTTAAAATATTTACCTATAACAATTTTAATGAATACATTATTTTATATTATATATATATTTATATATTTCTGTAGGTTTTTTTGCTAATAATAAATATTAATAATTATATGAAATATATTTTTGAGTACAACTCTTCGTATATTATTCCATTCTTAAGTTTTTCGAAGTGCATTGACGCAGGATATTCATATGATTTGGCAATGACATGTCAGCCTCAATCAAGGTCAAAACGGAAGATACATGCATATACATACACGATTTTAATTTGAAATATAAACTTTTAATTTTAAGAATGGAATATATAGAAAGCTATATTTATTTTTCTTCATTTTTTATAAAACTTTAAATTTTGTTAGCATGTTTTTTATATTTTTCATTGTTTACTTGTTTTACTAAATGATTGCAAAACGTTTTAAAGTAAAGAAGTAAGACGCACCTTTTAAACCACCTGTCAGATAGCTGCAAGAACCAAACTTTGAGTTATTCGTTCAATGTTAGAGGTACATACAAAGACCCCAAAGCTTGCACCTTATTGGCCAATATATGCAACGGTCTATGGTCAAAATAGCTGCAGCCTCCCTCCCACGTAGTTGTTATTGTAGCGGCCCAAAGCTTCGGCGTCCTGATAAGAGACATCAAAGAGCAAAAAGCTTTACATACATATGCAGAAAAAACAACAACAATATTTGGCCAGGTCCACGACGCATTAAGCTTGTTTTCCCTCTTCAGTTAGCTGATATGAGTTTCTGATTTATGACCTATAGTTCAAGTTGTAATGCCTTTTTAATTAGTTTTTCTAAAGTTCTTAAATGTAAACTTGACTCCATAAAATACTTGTATCACCAATATTGATTGCCTATTTTGTGTGTTTTTCAAAATTGTTCTTTTTTATTTATGGATATAAACGCTGGGAGTTTTTGTCAAGTATTTAGCCCTGATATCTATTGTCAAAATAAATATAACATAGGGTTAAAACACTGGTTAGGTCCTTGAACGCATACTATTAGAGCAGACTTGAAATCAACAAGTTGTGGACCTTATTTCAAGTGTTTTTTATATTTAGTTAAAAGGTACACCTTTTTATTTTAATGCGTAGGTGTATTTGAGTTTATTTAAGAAAATAATAAACATTGTAAACATTAAAAAATGGCCCAAAGTTTAAATTTTAAAGCGTTACAAGATACATAATTTATAAATCTATATTATATTTAATATACTAATAGTTTAACATAAATGAACCTTAGTTGATTTAATTTAATTCTTCCAATTCGTTTCATTCCCCAGAAAAATGCAACACGAACGCAAGGTGCTTACGAAGCGTAAAAGTCGAAAGGACAAGTCAGCGGCTGCTATGGCCGCCGCTGCTGCTGCTGCGGTTCTCGAGGGGAATGTGGGGGCTGGTGGATTGGTCAATCCGCTAGATCCGCCGCTGGTCAAGGAGCAACTGCTAATCCTGCCCTCATTCCCGGTGGCGCACATTGAACTCGATCCAAATGCGTCCAAATTTGCCGTCTTTTCGGCCATCCGGTCAACGGTCCTCGAGGCGGAGACCCGTTACGCCCTGTTCCAGGAGGGAGGACCGTCCGGGGGACATGCCGGATCAAAGAAATGGAACACGCCGCTAAGTACATCCTGCTGCATGATGTGCGCCCACAGCTGTATGATTAGCAACATCCTGGACTGCTCCTGTCACGCCCAACTGGCCATGGCCGGTGCAGCTGGACAGGTGCCAGGTGGCGGTGGTGGTGGTGGTGCCGGTGCCGGCGGTGATAGGGTGATGTTAGCCGGTGGCGGCGGCGGTGGACCCGCTCCCGTACCCGTTGTGGTCGGTGGACCCGGTCTTCCGGCCGAGAAGCGTCCGCGAAGGGATAGCGCCAACAGTGATGCGGATTCGGACACCGAGGAGCCCACCGAACGGGAGCCCGTCTATGCCACCGTGCCCCTTATCGTGGGCGCCGGCCTTAGGAGTCTGTTTGAGCTGATTGCCGATGCCCGACATGTCCATCCCCTGCTGTGCACCAAGGCGCTGAAGGCCCTGCTGGACGTGATCCAAGGCCAGCAGCCGGAGAGTTTCAAGTTTGAGCCCGAGGAGCTAATCAATCCCTTGTACGATCTGCTTTTGGATTTGGCCACAATGCCGGCTGCCCTTAATTCAGCCACCGGAGCGGAGGCCAACTGGTCGGCCATGGCCTGTGCCGCCCTTCTGGGTTTGTGTATTGCCCGCGGTGACACTGGCAAGATGCTGAAGGCTATTGCAGCCATGCTGATGACACCGCGCCAGCTCTCGGCCCAGATTGTGCAGCTGCCGGTGGTCCTGGCCACGCTGCAGCACACGGTGGTCAGTGCGGCGCTCAATAAGCCCACTAGGCCGGATTTTCATAGCCACGGTGTGCCGCACAATTCCCTGATTGATGAGGTGACTAGTGACTAGTGTCTTCCAGGGAAAATGTTTCTCTAAACTTTAAGCCTCTGTTTGCCTTTTTTAGTTTTCCCTGAAGCTGCCGCCCTTGAGCACGGGTCAGCCGGTCACATCACCGGCCATGGCCTGCGATGGTGTCTTTGTTTATCTGCTGTACGGTGGCACCCTGTTGAAGATCGGCACTGGGTTTGGTGGCTCCTACAAGGGACACGTTTATGCCCAGAACGAGGACTTTAGTCACGAGAAAAGCGCCTGGCTGGGCTACAGCGCTGGACAGCTCTACTTTCGTCGCACTTGTCGCCGCAGTGCTGGCGATCAACTGCAAATGGTTGGTTTGGATACGCTGGCCATTAAGGCCATGAGTCCGTTGAGCATGCTCCATATACGCGAGGGCCTCAACTATGTCCTATTCACCGACGACGACTCCCTGCATGCCATCTGTAGCAATCGCGATGTGAGTTTTGGGAGGGAAATACATTTTTGGTATTTGAATTTCTCGTTTTTTCTTTTATTTGCCTTAATAGGACACTTTGGTGGTGAAGAAACTGAATCTGTATCACAACAGCTACAACATCGATCCGCCGCCCTTTGAGCTGCCACTCCAGCTGGCCCGCAAAAAGTTCCGCACCCTGGGCTATGCCGCCTTCGAGGATGAGCTGCTCAATCAGTATCAAATACAACGCATCCAGTCGGCGCACAATAGCTTTGAGCCCAAGCTACCGGCTCCGTGTCGCGATGCCGATGTGGATGTCCTGGGCATGGCCTGTGGCAAGGAGTTCGGCTTGGTGAGGGCTAGCAATGGCAGGGTCTACTACTATGGCAAATCTGTGGCCTTGGGACTCAAGTGTGTGGGTAGGACGCCCACGCTGAAGCTCACCGAACTGATCATCTCGAAGGCGGCCAACATAGTCCATGTGGCGGTGGGTCATGATGGCATCCATGCCCTGCTGGTCAACGATGATGGCACTGTTTATTTTGCTGGAACTGCCCGACGCGGCGAAGACGGCGATAGCAGCAAGAATCGCAGGCAACCAAAGGCCGTTAAGCCCAAGAAGATGACCAAAATCGATGGCCATGTGGTGGTCCATGCGGCCTGTAATAATGGCACCTCTGCCTTTGTCACCAAAACGGGAAAACTGATAATGTACGGCAAGGATACGGCCCACTGTGATGCCATGGGGTTCGTCAGTGAACTGCTTGATCAGCATATCACCAAGGTGGCACTGGGCAAGGCCCATTGTGTGGCCCTCAATGCCAAGGGACAGTTGTTCTCCTTCGGGCTGAACAACAAGGGACAGTGCGGAAGGATATTCAACAAGCTGCAGCCGGTGAAGGATGTGGCACCGTTTGCCTCATCCTCCACGGCCGCCGCCTGTTTTGCATCCCTTCTGCCGCTGGACAAGCGTCTCAAGCTGGACTTTTCCACGCTCTGCGACTACGATGATCATAATTTGGTCCAGGGCCAGTGCCGTGTGTGTGTCATCTGTCGCGAATGCACCGGCTATAATGTGAGCTGCGTTTCGGCTCTAAATGTGCCGCTGGAGCAGCGTCTGGCTGGCAGTGTCTGTCCCTGTGGTCATGGCGATGCCGGGTGTGCCAAGTGCGGTCTCTGCGCCGCCTGTATTGCCCTCCAGGACAGCGATGGTGAGTCATAGAGAGCGGCTTTTCTGTGTCTTCTGTCTTTTGTAATCTCCAATCTCTTGGATTTCCTTTCCAGAAGCCAAAACGGAACTGAAGCCTCCGCCTAGCGATGTGCAACAGCGTCAGCAACGCTCCAAGACCCTCATTATGCGCCGCAAGGAGCGCAAGGGTGAACTGGAGACGGGAGCTGCTGGCGGTGGTGCCGCCACTCCCACCGATCTGGACAAGGATCCACCGCGTGTGGCCCCACTGGCACCGCAATTGCTGCAGCTGACTAGCTCAGCACCGGTGGTTCAGGTGGCCTGTGGCCTCCACCATACGGTTGTACTGACCCTGGCCGGCGAGGTCTACACCTTTGGCAGCAATCAGTACGGGCAGCTGGGCAGCGGTGATCTACAGCCCGTGAGTGGTCCAGTACGCGTCCAGGTGTCGGGTGCCATTAGCCAAGTGGCAGCCGGCAGCAATCACACTGTGCTGCTCACCTCCAAGGGCATGGTCTATACCTTTGGCAACTATCAGAAGGGACAGCTGGGACGCTTGCCAAGTGATTTTATACAGAAACCAGCCCAGGCCCAGGAGGACGAGTCGCCGGTGGGTTTGGGGTCCGATGGAGGAGGAGGAGGAGGTGTTGGATCACCTGCTGGCGGTGCTACTGCGCCCTTGGGCATGCCTGGGCCGGAGGTTCAGCCCAGTGGTTCCAAGGAAACGCCGCCTTTAATACCGAATTTCAATGCACCGATTCTGACGCAGCGACAAAAGTTTCTATGGAACTGCTCCCCAGGCGCCGTCTTGTAAGTTGGAGCAACACTTGAAGACTTTATATATTTTTGTTTACAATATTTCTTATCCATTCCAGTGGCCTGGGTCCCAGCTATGGCAAGAAGGTGACCTGGATTGGGGCCAACGGCGATCAGACCTTTATTAAAATTGATGAATCCCTGATCACAGCTCAAATGCTGCCCAAGATGCATGTGGTGGCCAACAAGAAGACTATATGTAAGTGAATTTCTATACTTGATCCTTGGTAATCCTTGCTAATCCTGGGAACATCCAACTAGTGCTCATTCCCAGCATTCCGCTGTCCTTTCACACGCTCTCCATCAATCGTCGCGATGGCAGCTGCACAGCCCATTATCGCGGTCAGACCAACTTTGTCCAGCTGATGCAGCAGCAGCAGCAGGTCCACCAACAGCAGCAGCAGCACCACCATCAACAACATCAGCATCACCAGCAGCAGGGAGAACAATTGCAGCCGGAAATCAACAGGAATGTGGATGTGCTTGGAACACCAGTAACCGCTGAATCCCCGGCACATGCCGCTGCCGCCGGCTCCTCCTCTGCCGCCTCATCGCTACTCACAGCTCTGGCGGGAACAGCAGCCAACGCTGGTGTGCCCATTAATGAGCAAATGTCACGGAGCATGCACGAGGCCAGGAATCAAATATTTGAAGATCAGCCCCCAGAGACAGGATCTCCAGCGGCGGCAGTGGCAGGAATAGGAGCAACTACAGTTGGGACACCTGGCGGTGGCGGCGGCGGCGGTGGAGGAAATGCCTCGCGTCAACGTCGCGGTGTCCGGCAGGGTGGCTCCCCAGAACCGGTACCAATGCCGCCACAGCTGGCCTTTGCCATGGATCCCACCTACAATGTGCTGTGGGTATTCGATGGAGCTGCCCGAAAGCTGCGCTGTCACAATGTGGTGGCCAGCGACATCAATGAGAGCGATGCGGTGAGTTCCCATAACCCTCTAAGTGACATCAGAGGGTTAACCGAAAATGTAACCTTTCTTTTTTAGAACTCAGCCAACTACCGATCCCTGCTCTCGCCGGAGCTATCCCTGCCGGATCGCGTAGACTCCCGTGTGGCACGCTCGCAGGCCTCGCTGAATCTGCTGGCCTGCTTGGACATTCTCACCTCGGCGCAGGACAACATCCCCGGCTGCTTCGATCAGCCGCTGCTCAAGCAGACCCAACAGACAGCCGAGACGCTGAGCGGCGAATACCAGGTGGTGAGTCGCTTCGACAACTTTGGCGGCGGTTGGGGCTATTCGGGACACAGTGTGGAGGCCATACGCTTCTCCGCCGACACGGATATTGTGATCTGTGGCTTCGGGATGTTCGGCGGTCGCGGGGAGTACAGCTGCAAGCTGAAGCTCTTTGACCTGGGCGGCGATGGTGGCGGCTACGAGAAGGAAGGTGTTCTCATAAGCGAAACCAAGGAGGTGCCCTACGAGTGCGGCGCCAGGAGCAAGCATCATATATTGCTGCCCAAGCCGGTTAGTGCGGTGGCCGGTAGATGGTATCTGGTGTGGGCCAGGATCGCTGGACCCTCCTCCGATTGCGGTTCGTGTGGCCAGGTATCGGTCACCACCGAGGATCAGGTGGTCTTCTCATTCAAGTCCAGCAAGAAGGCCAACAATGGCACCGATGTCAACTCCGGCCAAATACCGGCCATCCTGTACAGACTCGTGACGCAGGATTGCAAGCAAACGCCGGCCCAGATGGATGCGGATCCTGTCCAGCGAATATCGCGTGCCTTTGCCAACAGCGTCAGCCGGGAGTGCTTCGAGAGTCTGGTGGTTCTGCTTAGCTGGGCCTGGGATTGCTTCAAGCTGCAGCTGCGCGAGGAGCGCGATAGATCCAGGCCATTGCAGCTGCAGCAGTCGCTGCAGTACCTCGGCTATGTGATCAAGTCATGTCTGCGGCTGCTGCGCAAGTATACCAATGAGATATATCCACAGCGCAGCTCAGCCACAAACCAGGGAGGAGCTGGTGCTAGAGGAGGAGGAGGTGGTGGTGTAGTGGCTGCTGCTTTGGCCAAGATACAGGCTAAGGCTGGCAGAGACAAGAGCTCAGCTCCTCGAGCCGCTGTTATGGCCAAATACTTTGGTGATGCCTCACCAGCGCCGGCCATGATCAGTAGTGGCGGCAGCGGTGGAGCACCATCTACATCTGCTTCGGCGGCGGCGGCGGCTGCAGCAGCAGCAGGAGGAGGAGGAGGAGCAGCAGCAGCAGCTGGAGGAGCCACTCCCCAGACACGTAAGACTAACATGGAGAACATACAGCTGGCAGAGTGCATTGGCAATGTGCGAGCCCTGCTTATAGTCATCTTTTGCGACGACATCTTCAAGGATATAGCCACCGATGAGGGTGAGTATCGAGGATTTCTTCTGGGGAAACTCCCACTTAATGCACTCCCACTTTTTGCAGGCTACGAACTGGTCCTGGAGATCCTCGACGAGTGCCATTTGAGTTATGTGGCCTGCTTCGATGCCTTCTATCCCACATCCTCGCTGAAATGGAACTGCCTGTGCGATTTACTTGGCCAAATGGATCGCGGTGCCCTGCATTCCCGCCTGCTAAGCGCCATACTGGCCGGCTTATGCTCACCCAGCGTCAAGCTAAGGGCCACCTTCTCCCTGCTAAGTGCCACGGGCAATGAACGCCAGTCGATCATCAGTCCCAGCGATAACTCTGGCCTGCCCATGCTCTCCTCCACGGATGCCCATCAGTATCCCATATTGGTCGAGCAGATGATCTATCGGACGCAGCAGGAGAAGAGCGATTTCCTTAGCAACTCGTGGACCTTTAAGGATGTGCTAGTGCGTCTCCTGGATATTATAGCCACGCCCATACGCTCGCGAATTGAGGTGATTTACAGCCGGAATCTGGGGAATAGCAGCGCCAGCAGCGTCCACAACAAGGAGACCGTCAATCAGGGCTTGATTGACAACTGTTGCCATCTGTTGGCCCGAGTTCTGGCCGAGATTGTCTACCAGACGGCAATGGGTGAGTACGACAAGTTGTTTCTGCCTCCGCGAACTCTTCACTCCACCGGCGCCCGGTTCGCCCGCTGCGATGTGAGTCGAACGTGGAACACGGGTAACTTTGGTCCCGATGCCATTGCCTTTGCCGTGGATCGTCCGGGTGTGGCCATTGCCGGTGCCATGGTCTACTCGGGATCGGGAAGCTATGACTATCAGCTGGAGTTGCTCTACGACAATACGGCGGATCTGCAGCCGCAGCACAAGTGGGAGACTCTGGAGTCCGTCTCGGGTACCTACGACCAGGAGGCGGTGCACAATGATCTTGCAGAGATTAAGTTTGATCATCCGGTGCATATCAAGGAGAATGCACGCTACGCCTTGAGGTTGTGCTCCCAAGGAGCACGTACCTGTTCCGGTGACGCTGGAATGCCAGTGCTACGAGGACCCTGTGGCACCCAATTTCATTTCTATGCCTGCGATCTCAGCTTTAATGGCACCACGCCGGCCCGAGGACAATTGCCATGCATCCTGTACTACAGCACGCCCATGAAGCAGGACGGAAACAACACAAATACCACCACTAACACTGCGACTGGAGGCGGTGTTTCCATACTGGAGGAGCGACCATTGCTTCTGGGGCCACACGAAGTCTCCACCAGAGACACAGCGCTGCAAATTGCAGCGGATATAACCAAGAAATGCACGGAACTGTTGATCCTGGCCAGGAATGCCATGGCTGCCTCATGCTCGCCCTCGGATAACAGCTCCAATCACACCCAGACGATTGATTCCGAGCACAATATCACGCCCATCGAGGAGCACATGGACATTAACTGGGCCAACAACTCGCGGACAGCTGCATTGCCCACTGTGGTGGCCGCTTCGGCGGCAGATCCACAGCTATCCGCCGCCCGGGATTTGGGCAAACGCATTGAGTCCTTCTCCAAGGGCATCATGGAGACCCTGAAGTTTGACAAGCGTTCCACGAATCCCTTTGAGATGGAAATCGAAATGGGAGCCACCGAAATCGGTGTGGAGGAGACGGCTGCCGACCTGAGGAACGGCCAGAGTCAGAGTCAAAGCCAGAGTCAGAGCCAGAGCCAAAGTCAGGGCCAGAGCCAGGGTCAGAGTCAGTGCCAGAGTGTGCCCATCAATGGGAATGAGAGGACCACGGAGTACGAGATGGCCGAGCAGCCGGCAACGCTGCCTCAGCAGCACTCGGACTCGGAGGAGGCTCCTCTAGAGGCGGGTAACATGGCTGCCAGCGGTGGCGGTGGCCTAAGCGGAGCTGGTGGTGTCACCAGTCATGTGACCGCTGTCCAGCTGCTGGAGGTCTTCAATCTGGCCGCCTCCAATATGTTTCACACACTCCTGCCGCTGGTCTATGCCCACATTGCCAATTTGGCCTGCAGCGATCCCAAGAGCTCCGTCCAGATTCTCGGTTTGATCAAGGAGATCCTGCCGCATATCGCTGCCCTGAATCAGCTGCATGTGTCCAAGGAGCAGCGCCCGCCGGAGCCGGCTCTGTTTGCCCCCCAGAGTGGTGGTGGCAACAGCACCACCAGCAACCACTACTGTGTGGTGGAGAGCGAGCATCCGTACAAGAGTGCCAGCATCAGTTGCTACCGCGTGGAGTTCCCGCCCTGCGTCCAGTGGCTGACCATTGAGTTTGATCCGCAGTGCGGCACTGCCCAACTGGAGGATTACCTGCTCCTGTCCATACCCATGCGACCGCCAACGGCCCAGCATCAGGCAACGCCAGTCCCGCATGCCGATGATTATCTGGAGCAGGCGGACAACAATGTGCACAGTGGCGATAGAAGACGCACCACTGGCGGTGGCATAGCCGGCAGCGGAGCAGCTCCGAGCAATCATATCCGTTCCGCCAGCGTTCAACTAACCATGGCCAGTTGTTGCCGCAGTCCGGGGGCAGCAAGTGCTCCAGGCTCGGCCAGCGCGCCGAGTGCAATGCCACTGCGCATGCTGGATGCCACCGAACGGGAGTGGATTGTGGTCAAGAAATTCAATACGTGAGTTGGTTAATTTTATTTTTATTTTTGTTTCTAAAACAAACTGTAAACCGTTGATGTCAACTCTTGTAGAGCTTCCACCTGGCTGCAGAACGTGCTCATCCTGCCCGGCAACTGTGTGGAGTTCTCTTTGGAAACGGCGTCCCTCTATGCCCAGGATCCGCACAATAATCGCTATGGCTTCAAGTGTCTAGTGGTTGGCTACGACAATCCCACTTCAGTGAGTAATACATACATATATTATAATAAAGACTAAGATGCGTAACGCCATGGAGACCAAGGCTACAGGTTCTCCTTGCACGAATTTCCTTGATATCTTAAAAACTTCCTATTTTTATTTATATTATTTCACCTTAGTCTCTTTCTCCCAATTGCTCTCTCTCTTTCTAATCCATGTGTCTCTCTTACATGCTCAGATCAATGCCAGCAACTCATGTCTCATAAGACTGGAGCAGGAATTGGCCTATTTGGGCGGCATGTGCAGTGCCAATCTCATGAAGAAGGAGCTCAATCTGCCAGGTGATATATCCCAAATTTTCATATATATTGAAACCGCATTATAAAACCCATTTTGTAGACGACAAGGACGTGGAGGATATGAGCGGCATAGAGGAGACCATCAGTGCCCATCATGCCTTGCTCTCCAAAGGCTTTGCCCTATCCGAGCCCCAGTTGACAGTGCACCAGGCCTTGGAGTCGTATCTGCCGATAGGGTGAGTCCTCCTTTCAATTATAGCTCTGTATATACGGTATATCTATGCAGACTTGGCTTTTCTGCTTTTTTTAATGGGTCTATTTACATTGCTTAGGCATAATTAAGATACAATATCTAACGACTAAACTGTAGGCTATGGTTTTGGTACAGCGAAAGGTCACGCATTGGTGGTATTTCCATGTTAGCTTCCTCCTCTAGCTTCTCTCAGCTCTGTGTGTGTGTGTCTCTGTCTTTCCTTGGCGTCTTGTCTTGGTCTATAAATCAGTCTTGAGCAGGCCAGCATTCTCGATTTGGTATACGATCTGAGTCTCTTTGTATGTGCGCGGCTCCGGCTGGACAACGTCCAATTTACGGCGTCGCCTTCTCTGAACTATTCTCCAGCATATCCCCAGGATCAGCAGAAGCAGCAGCAGGCCAAGCAGCACACTACCCGCCACTATATAGGCCATGTAGCTCTGTTCACGACACTGATCGCTGATGAGCAGACGTAGTGGCATCAAAGGTGGTGCCTGCTGCTGCTGCTGTCTGTCTGACTGCTGTCCCGGTGGCTGGAACATTAGCTGATCGCTGTGCACGCGAAAGAATTCAGCTTTGGGCAGTGGCGGTTCTACATTCCTGTCCAGCTGATCGCAACTCCAAGGATTATCATAGCGCAGCTCACGAATGCTAAGAGCAAAGCGCTCGTCAAAGCGCAGAGGTTGTGCCTGTGTTCCGGGCTCATCATCATTCGCCTTGGGATCTGCTCCGGGACGTGAGCTACGCAGGGTGTTGTTGTGGAAGCGCAGCTCCAGGCGCTCGCTTAGCTGATACGAACGATGCACGGTGAGGCTGCGGAAGGCTATCTCACTGGTGGCCCCAAAATCGTTGCCACGCAGGGTAATAGCATCGCGGATTTGAGCCTCCAGCCACTCGCCATCCACGGCCACAAATTGGTTCTCACTCAGGCTCAGTTTGGAGACAACTGTGGAGGGCAGAGGATTGTTTTATATAGATAAATATAATTAGGCAATTTTTCTTTACTTACGTTTAAAAGAGAGGGCATGGGAGTGCACCTCCTGGTGGAAATGATTCCCCCTCAGACTCAGCTCGTTGAGCACTTCCAGTTCGTAGAAGGCCCGGGTGGGCACATCGCTCAAAAACTGACAGTTGGCAATGCTCATCTGTTCCACGGCGAACTTTTTAAAGGCCTAATGAAGTGAATAAAAGTGGTTTATTATAGATAAAAAGATGTCTTAAGATAAACCCCCTGAACTCACCTGACTTTCAATATGCTGTATGGTCACCCCGTCCATTTTGAGCAATATGGCACTGTTCTTGGTCGTGGTGAACCCAAAAGGCTTCATCTCATCTATGCGTCCGCCCACGAATGAGATCTCCTCGATGTTTCCAGTGATGGCATGCGACTCGATCAGTTTGATGTTCGTCTGTTCGAACTCCACGATCAGAGCCTTGTTGCTGGCATAGCGGGGCACACTGAGGGCAGACTGGCGGAGCACTAGCTTACCCACTTGGGTGAAGGTCACCTTGCGCAGGCCTATGGTGTCGCCCAGGCAATTGGACTCCACAGTGAGGTCGGGGCAGTGGCGAATCTCCACCAGAGAGACGTCACCGTGTAGGAATGGCAAGACCATGGGCTGTAGTTAAAAGGAAGTAAAAAATATTTGAATTTAGAGAAACTGTTATAAACTTGCTGTTATTCTAACTGTTATATTGAATTAAATATAATAATATTAACAATTGATATAGATAAATAAATAGATCAGTGAAAAAGAAAGTAAGAAAGTTTTTAAACGGAAAATCTAGTTAAATACTGTTATATACTTGTAACTGTTATATAGAAAAAGATTTAATAATATTAAATATAATTATTTGAGGCCATTTAAATTTTAAAGTATTTTTTTAAAAGGAAAATCTAGAGAGTGTAAAATACGGTTATATTCTTAGAGCTGTCATACAGAAAAAATTTAATAGTATAAAATAAAGACATACAACAGTAAAAAAGAATTTAATGAAAAAGTTTTTAATAATAAAATCCAGATAAGCGGGTATATACTTTTATATACTTAAAACTGTTATACGTACATGAATTTTATATTATTAAATTTAATTATTAAATAAATATTCATATAGAAATATATTTAATAAAATTAAATAATGTTAAATATATTTATTCTACCATTTAACATTAAGTTTCAAGCTCTTGAAAGTTTTTCTGAAGCAAAAAATCTTTTTCAAGCTTTTTTATGCTTGTTTACCATTTTTTTTTTGTACAATGAAGTCATAAAAAGTCAAAAGTTCTCTAAAAAAATAGGCTGAATAGGGGCTAACTTTCGTCTGAAGGTTGAGTCATTAAATAGTGTTTATACACAAAATTGTTGATAGTTCTTTTTGTGTCGAAAATATTCACGACCTTCCGTCAAGTGTTTATAATTTAATTAAAGTTTTTTTTTTTTGTAAACATTTTCTTTTTTTCTTTATTAATATAAGGCAAACAGCTTAGTATTATTTTTGGGCGCAGCAGCGTGACTCACCTGGTCGTAGTTGTTGCAGTCACAGGTCATGGTGGTACTGCCACCGGAGCTGCAGCTGACCTTCGTTAGCTCCGCCGTCACTTGGGCGGTGGCAAAGAGGCTCAGCAGAATGATGATGATTAGGAGGAAGCGAAGGTGGTGGTGCATCCATTTTGTCCACACTGTGGGATCCTTGAGATTTCTGATATTTCGCATGATTATTCGCTCATATTTAACGCCTATTCTCCGGGCTCTATTCACTCTTTGTTCATTTTCCGGAGTCCGGCTTTCGCTCTCCTCAACCGTTGTCGTTCCGTTGCGCTCTACGATCGGCCCGTAAATGCTGATAAGTCCAATGGATTCTCTAGTACCTTATCTTTGAAGGTGTTTCTTATCTGTGGAATATATACAAACATACCATACGTATAAACATTCAGAATTACAGTGATGTTGTGTTTGCGGTTGTGTGTCACAGTGTAGTCATATATATTTGCTATAAATATGTGTGTTTGTGTGTGTGCTTTTGGGGCCACCCTAAAAATCTATAAATTATATTAGATAAAATAGCGAGCTTTTTATACCCATTGGTCTTGTGGTAAAGGGGTAGCTTAACTCAGTGGAATATATACAGTATATTCTAGTCATGTCCGTTTGTCGTTTGTCCGTTAGTCGTCTGTCCGTTATAAATACCATAATCCGAAGCCTATAAGAGCTAAAGCTGCCTAGCTATAAGGCTGATTCCAACTCTTGTTTGTTTTAAAATAAAAAATCTAAAGAAAACACTTATTTATAAATGTATTCATTTTATTATTTTAATTAATTTGATATTTTTGTAAATTTATTTTTTTTTATATTAATATAATTTTATATTTTATTTTAAATGTATTATTCCAAATTTACATTAAACTAAAAGAGATTTTTTATCTGTTTTTTATAAACTTAAAAGAGAGATCTCCTTCCTGGAAATACTTTGTTAGAATATTCTAGAAATATACATATTTTTGGCGACAAATATTTGCTTTCTGTGTGGCTCACAATCAACACATGTTTATTCCAAGTGATCTCAGTTATTTCAACTACTTGCAAAAAACTTAAAATTGCAACTGTCAAATTGTAAAGTTGCAAAGTAAACCTTAAAAAGCTCATTTAAAAAAAAGATAAGATTGCCTTTAAAAGACCTTACACCGAGGGGTAATGTGCCAGTGACTTTACTGGCGGTTCAAGCATTTGTTCCTATGAATTCATGTATAAACTTTAATTCTTTGAAATTTTTTCTGTTTTCCTTATTAAAATTTCATAATTCTCATCATGAGAATGTTTTTTGTTTTGATATTTATCACCTGAGTATAGGCCATTTCGGGTTTGTTTTTATTCAATGAGTTTCCAGGAAGTACATGTAAGTTTTTGCTTGCCTTAGTTTTTACCTTTAATAGTTTCTACTATTAATTCGGGTTTGTGTGAATTGATATTACCCAACTTTAGTTATACTTTAAATCTTGAATAGTTAAAAAAAAAAGAATCTAAATTATTGAACGATAAACAATTTTGCGCTAATTATCGATTCGTTATTGTCTTGCTCTAAAGCATCGAGTTATATAAAGTAGCGAGTGTGAAAAATAACTTTTTGAAAGTAAACCAGCAAGTGTGACAAAATAATTATTTATAAAAATGAATAAAGATGAATTATAACCGATCTTTAAGATATCCCTATAATTCTAATTGTATGAAAAAGTGTTGCAAAACAGTGAAAAATCAGAATTTTGATCGATTACCGCCGAAAACTTCATCGGTGTCGATCATAATCAGCTAAAGTTAACGTTATTGCCCAACAACCATAGCAGAGACGCTGAAACGAGGCTCTAATTGAATCACAACACCCTCTCCCAAATGATGATCACTTCACTTGGCCGGTTTTCTCCTCCAATCACGAAAAACTGTTAATTGAATTCGGAGGTCGTACGGCACACACCGAGTACACACACACACCGAGTCTCTTCTGTCTCTGGAAGAGGGAAGCTTGGAACTCGAACTGGGACTGGGACTGGGTCTGGTAGCCGCCTGAACATGAGCAATTATGCTTTGTTATTTGTTTATGGCCATTTCCATTTCCATTTGTTTAAAGAACTCAATTTACGAGAGAGAGAAAATTTAGTCAGCGCGCTCATCTCAAGTGGCGACTGTTCAAATATTGGCGCACGAGTCGAGAAATTCAAAAATTCCAGAGTCGCGTCGGTGCCAAGTTTGCCATCATGACGATGATCATGATCATGGCGATGGCTATGGCAATTATTTCATGATTTCACAAAGTGTATAACTTGCAGTAAATATTAAAAAGTTCAAAAAATATTAAAACATAACATAACAACTATGAGTACTACTTTGGGAGTACTATTTTTCTTTAAATACTTTGTACATTTTTTAAGGGAAACGACTCAAGTCTTGGCTAGGGGAACTTGGCTTTGATCCGGTCATATAAAATATACAGGCAATATCAAATCAGGCAATCCTGGGCTATTAAGATAATGCACTTTGATACCTAAAGTTCGCTTTGCGATAAGTACAAGGCACTAAAATTAATCGGGGCCTAAAAAAATCAAGTATTCCGGATGTGACGCAGACATTGGTCAACCCTTTACGGGTAGCTCTGTACCGGGGGCAGCGCTCTCCACATCAAGTGGTGGTTTTCATTGAGTGGACTTGCGTTTAGGAAATTAAATTATAGCGCAATTGCATTTCCTGTTTTCAGAATCAGAGCCGGAAAACTCTCTTTAAAAAGTTCGCCGTGAACTCCGTTTCACAATTAGGCAATAATTAAGATGTATAAAAAAGTATAAAATAGTGACAGATGTCAATAAAATCTTGTGAAATCATTTAAAATATAAAGTCATATTTTGTATATATTTTTTAAGAGCGTCAGAACAGAAAACCACACTCAAAAATCAGTGTAATGAACTTAAATTTATATCATTTTTGGTATATATTTACGTACTAAGGTCTTAAATCCTTAATTGTCCACTTGTGGCATTTAAAATATTTATTTTACATTTTGTGTAAATATTAATATGAATATTTCATGGGTTTGTAACAAATTGAATTGAAGTGAAACGCCGTCAAAGCAAGCGAATCGAAAGGCTTCATTGCACAAACTGATGGGATTTCCATTGCATTGCCACCGTTTTTTCATATAGTCCGTATCTTATCGTGGTTTATATCGCCATCGATAAAGTTGCGGGTGAGTCAAAAGGCCCGATATTCCGCAGGATGACACATTATAATGTACTGTACTTGAGTACATAGAGTTTGCAAATGGTTTATTATGACTCCATGGCGTTTCTAAGGTCGAATTACGAACCCTTACTGGAAATTGAAGTGACTAATTGGCTTGAAAGTTAATACAGGCAACAATTATAAATGTTTATTAAATTAAGGAAAATATTTATTATATTAATAATAGTTGAAAAAGGGTTTCTGTAAGTTGAATCTTATGGATATATAGGCTAATTTCAGTTCTTAGAGAAAGCAGATACAGTATCTTGTATCTTGTTGGATTGCGCCTTATCTTTTATATGCCTGCTATTAGCAATTAGCTAGAAAATACAAGCTGTGAGCTTCAAACTACAAGCTTTTCTGCCATTTAACCAAATCGTATCTATTGCAGAATTGTCAAAGCCAACTTTCTTTCCCAAGCTCTTTGGACAATGTTTTTTCTTGGTTGTTAAAAGCATATCGGCCACCAAAGCTCATTTAGCCAAAGGTCTAAACCAACTAAAAAAAAATAAAGCGAAATAGTAGTACTTGAAAATGCCGAGGGCACTTGATGGGGTTAATGTTTTTAGCCTGTGGATTTGTTTTTTGTTTTGTTTGTAGCTTCTGCTCTTTGCTTTCTACTACTTGAAATTCGTGCACTTGTACTTTTTTTTTGTTTCTGTTGTTTCCATTCTATACACTTGACGAAATGAACAATGAACTTTTGATACCCTTGAAACCTAGAAGGTCTTGCAAAAATCGATTTAAAATCGATTGTTTTCCTCTCTAATTGCTAGCTAAATGGTATGGTAAGTTTCTTACGAACTTTGGCAAGATTTTAACTTTGAGAAATTATATTTTGCACTATTTGGCACTAAAACTGAAAAAGAAGTCAAGTTTTCGATATTTTTTCATGCAATAATCGATTATTATCGAAATTTTACTAGCTCCAAGGTATTTTTGTCCCAATCTTTTCAAAGACGTTAAGTTGGAAGGAGAAATGAAATATATTATTTGTATTATTGATGTTGGACTGTGTTGTCTTCGTGTTCCAATAACTTAACACATTTTTCGATTGAACTTCTCGTAACATTGACTTTGGATCTGGACTGTTTTGTATTATTTATTTTTTCTTATTTTTTTGTTATTGCCATTTGTTAGTGAATATTTTTGAAATAGCAAACTAAAAACAGATTTGTATTTCACATTCGCTCTCCTCCGTTGCCATTTAACCTTGAAATATCGAAATATCGCCGGGTTGCGATGACGACGACGCCGACGGTGACGATAATGGATATGGATATATGGCAAGGTGTCTGCCAATTTTGTTTCTAATATTTTGTTGTTTAACAAGGGGGCGTATGTGCATAAATATACACAATATACACTGCTAATTTGGATTCCCTAAGGAAGCAAAAAGGCAATAAAGAGAGATGTCTTGGGGTTTGAATTTCATTTCATTTAAATTAAAGTTTTGTTTGTTTTGTTTCGATGCGTGGGATTTCCATGATCATGATCATGATCATGATCACACTGGATTAGGAAGACGAGGGAGAGCAGATCTTCTCTGTTTGTTTGAATTCTTCTTTTTTAGCTTCTCTCTGTGCCTGCAACGCAAACAAAATGTTTCCATACTCTCGCAGATTTTTTCTTTTTTCAGATATTTTTTTCTTTTTCGTTTTATTACTTTGAACTTTATGGTCAGAGGCCGGCCACAAAAATGCAATACACACACACACACACACACGCACACCCAGATTTTTGACACCAGGAAAATGGCAAACAAGTGACTTTGCTTTTAGACAGACTTTAAGTAGTAAATACTCGTTAATATTCACATTTAATATTATTATTAGCAGTGAAATCAGCGCACCTAATTAAACAAAAACAGAAACAAAAACAAAAAAACACGCGATCGCTCGGCCTCCGGTCCAGAGTTGTTCTTCGTCGTCGTCGTTGTTGTTGCTCGGCCGACCGGCGTAAGCGCGTGCGAATGACAAACTGAGCGCCAAACCGCCAAACGCTAAACGTTAAACGCAAAACGCAAACCGCCAATCTCCGCTACCCGGGAGCTTCTCCTGGCTCCACGATCCACGCGGACAGAAAACGCTCGGCAGAGCGCCAGTCAAAGCTGAGCGTTTAGCTTTCCATATTCTAGCCAGGGTATTATAATTTTAGACAAAAGCTTGCAGCACAGGCGAGTCGATTTAGACAAGTCCACTACAACATTTTATTTTAATTTAAAAGGGGTTGTTACATTGTAAAAATTAAATAAAAAATATATATATATATTAATAAAATTAGTATATTTCGCCTAAAAAAATGTCATATACAAATTGGTATTCAAAGACCCTATAATGCGTGATATATTATTATGTTGGCAAATCTTATAAATATTTCGATTCGCTATGAAAATCCTAATTTATATAAAATAAAATAAATGGAAACAAATCGACCAAAAGAATTTTTAAGTGAGTAGGACCTACGGGTCGTATACGTAATTTTTAATAGACTTCGAGGCAGCTTTTTTCAGCTCATCTTTTGCAGAACTGCCATCACTGCCAAGCTCTCTCTCTCTCTTCCGACGCGGTGTTCTCTCTCTGCCGCTCTTTGCTCTCTGGTTAAATGAGCGCCAGTTTGGCTGCAAATGATCATAAGCTCAAAGAAGAAGAAACAAAAACAAACAAAAACAAAAAACTAAAAAAATATCTAAGAAGGCAAAAAATTTTTTGCGTTAATTTGCGGCACAGAAAAAATATTATTATATATTTTTAAAAATTTTGAATATATTTCTTTAAGGGTAATATAGTTTTTAATATCAATATATTTAAGCAGTATACCATTTTCTTAAGTGTGTTTTTTTAGATGAGTTTTAAAAGAATATATCAAAATAGAAAACCTTTTCTGTTATCACAATTATATAAACAATACAATTTCTTTTTCCAAATGCTATATAATAAATATTAATAAAATATTTTCATGTTAGCATCTTTCTTTTTTTAATACATTTACCGTATTCTATTCGCTCTGTGTACTTGTCTTGTGGTATTGTTTACTATTTCCAAGCTGAAGTTGAAGCTGACTATGGTTATATGGATATGGATAGGCATGGCGGAATATGTATATGGCTGAATCTGATTCTTTGATTGCTTGCGACGCGCTTAATTGACACTTGCCGCTCCGAAAAAGCCCCCGCAAAAAACCTGGGGATAAAGGGAGAAATATCTGAAGAAAAAGACAAGCAAAGACCGCCACAAATCAAATCAAATTTACTTCGGGGCAAAAGCAAACATGGAGCACTTAGCGAGAAGCTTGTTAAGAGCCAAGCTGATCGCCGGCTTGGCTGTGTGTAAATAATGTACAAATCCGGGCGGGAGGCTCTTTGAAAAATTGTAAATACCATTTGAACCTTTGAACTTTATAAAATTAAGAAAATTAAATTTAGCATATTTTTTTTTTAACTCAAGAAATATTTTTGAGTTTGTTAATACACTGTAGAACGGTAGGCCTTAGCAGCCAATGCACAATAATTAAGTGTTAACTCTTAGCTTTTAACTATTAGTTAGCTTTAAATAAATAAATATCTGAATAATATTTGTTCAGAAATAAATTATGCAGTGAAAATCTGGTTTTCGATTATTAAAACTATATATATATATATAGTGTAAAATTGGCTTTCATTGTTGTTTTTCTTCTAATTTTATAAATGTTAACTTACATTCCTATCTCTAAAATAATTGAGTTAATAATGGAACCTATTTAATTGTTGAGATAAGCGTGCCATTTACCTTTTCAAAACTGATAAGGAGTCGAGCAGGTTAACTTTTCTTCATTCATTCACACAAAAATACTTCTCATGCACTGTACAAAAAAGGCATAACTACAAACCCAATTAAAAAAAGCAATTTGAATCTATCCTAACTAAGCCAAAAAAGCATTAATCCCAAAACGGAAAACAGTTTTGTGTTAGTTTTTATTAGGTGAATCCGCATACTAAATTAAAGCATGTTTTGTTGCCAATTTTTAAGAATATTATCAATTTAAAAAAAAAAACGCTGCATTTATTATTTATTATAACTTTAAGATACAACATTTTACATTGTAAAAAGCTTTAAAAATGTACTCTTTTCCTGATTTCAAATCTCAAATGGTCAACATAAAGTTTGTTTGCATAAAAGTGATTTTCCAGTCAAAACATTGAGTAGTAAATATTTTACAATTTATTCTCAGCGCAGTTGCTGCCTTTGCGATTAGAGATCTGAGAGATCTGAGAGCTGTAACCGATCGGGCTGACTTACTGACCATATATGCCCATTAATAACTCGAAAAGGCTTTTAGAATGCATTTGCATAGATCGCAGCTCGGCGCAACAGCATTTAATTCACATATATCGGTTCTGTGATCGCGCTTGCAAATCAAGTTATACAACATTTCAAAATGCAATTTCAGCACAACACACACACACACACCCGCCGACTGGCTTTCAAGAGCGTTTTTATTTTTATTATTATTTTTTTTTAATTTTTACTTATTGTTTTCGTTTTTGTTTTTGCTTATAGCAGCCGTAACAAAACAGCTGTGTAAGCCAAAGTGATTAATATTTATGTCTCACACGCCGCCAGCTTATTGTTGCAGCCCGGCGATAACTGAGAAATTGGACATGTGATATGGCGGGGCATCGGAAAAATGAGATCAAAATGGAAGGGGTGATGAGTCAGGCGGGATACGAGGATAGGGAATTAAAAACCTAGTCTAGACTAGTACTTATTTTTTGTGCTCTAACCTTGAATCTGATTCTAAATTGAATTTTTAAGAGTTTATATAGTACATTTTTGTATTTAGACGTGTTTTTTCGTATTTCAATTCCTTAAGCTGAAAAATTAGAACTTTTTTCAATGTTTTTTATATGTGAAAAAAAAATTGATAAGCCCTGTTAGTCAATATTTGTAGTTTTATATGATAAATATAGATTTGAAATCGTTACACCTAAGTTTTTCCAGCTTTACAATTCCCTAATATGAGGTCGATACAATAAAACTGGATATTTTTAATGGTTTTCATATAAAAATATATATATTTTAAATCGATTAACTTACCAATTGAAGGTTTGGATGATTTTATATTAAAAATAAATTCAATTTTTCCTAATAACCCTTGATTGTTGAAGTTTTCAATATTTTTAAAATCGATGCATATAAGTTTTTCAGCACTACAACTTCCGAAGAACCACATACAATTGATTTTAAATCAATAAACTCTGAAAATCTATATTTTCCATATAAAAAATATTTATATTAAATCAATAAACATTAAAATTTAAAGATATAAAAAAATATAGATTTTCAATGGTTTATCAATTAATAATCAAAGTTTTCAGTCTTTTTATATACAAAAATATCTATTTTAAATCGATAAACATAATTTTTTCAGCTCTACAATCCGCAAAGAACCACACACACACACTCAGTTTGTCGCTTTGTCTGCTCTGGGACTCATTTATTTTAAATTATTTGGACTTAATCTAGCTTAGCTCGTAGTTCGATTGGCGCCGCTCCACCTATCTGTTAGTTTTTCCCTCCGGAGAAACTGTTTCAATATCACAAAGTGTTTTTTCGCTTACTTTTCCCCAATTCTTTTTCTTTTCTTCTTTTGTGCCCTGCTGGCTGGCAGGTTGCAGGTTTACGCTTATCTTAATCATTTCTTCTTTTCGCTTCTCGATCGTGTTGTGGCAGCTGTGACAGGTGGATATATATATCCCTTATATATTCGCTGCATACTTTCAGGCGTCCGCATAATCGATCACATCGGTGATTTGGACTGTTACATCGCTGCCGCCGGAGTGATCCGATCCCGAGTCCATGTGCTCCATGGCCGCCAGACTGGCAGCGCCATCCAAGCACTCAAAGCTCTGCCGGCTCCGATGACGTCGGATACCTGGCTGACTGTAGGGCGGCGGATGAGGTTGAGGAAGTGGTTGTGGCTGTGACTGTGACTGAGATTGTGATTGTGCCTGCGGCTGTGGCTGTGGATAATTCTGCTGCAGCTGTCTTTGGTTTCGCGCCGAGGTCAGCTGATTGGGATGAAACTGCGGCATTGCCTCCAGATCCTGCCTCAGGTCACGTACATGTCGTGGCGCTACCGCTCCCGTTCCCGTTCCCGCTCCTGCTCCCGAGGGAGGTCTACTGGTGGGAGTGGCACTGGGCGTGGAGCGCCAAACTGGACTGGCATAGCAGACAGTTGTCGTTGTTGGAGGCTGTGGTCTTGGGTGGCGCAGGGGCGTGGCATACTGATAGGCCGGTGGCATGTCATTCGCATCTGGAAAAAAGAAACGGAATGAAAGGATTAATTGGGTTTATCTTTTATATTTACCGTTGAACTAATTAAAACAGATATAGATAAAGATACAGATATTATGGGGTTGGTCTGGTATTCAACTTTGACAGGAAATATTCGCTTTTCTTTAGAAAAAATAATTTGGAAATATAGGGAAATCCTTATTAATATTTCAAAATTAATATTTTAAAGACTGGTGGCTTATTATAAATCTAACAAATTGGTTAAACAAAAAAAAAAATAAATGACTAGATTCAAGTTTTGCATAGAAAAAAACCGAGCATTATGAGGTTGGTATATATTTATTTCTAATTACTACCGAAAACAAGCTCAAAAGTATGCTATACTTTTTGATTTTAATTGATTTTACTATATCTTTCGATATAACCTCAGAATACCTTGAATTTGATTAGAAATGCAAATAAAATTAATAAGAATTTAGTGTCATAATATGCTCACACCCTACAATTACAATAAATTGACAAATAATTTAGGAACAAAATATTTTGTAGCCTACTTTTCAACACTTTGTTAAAGGGTTTTTAAATCTTGTTTACTTTTTCTTTCGAAAGTGAATACCAGAATTCATTTTTACGTATTACCAGTTTACAGATACAATTACAAAGAAAGTGAGAGTGAAAGTAAAAGACAGTGAGATACAGAGGGAGAGGAATCCATCACCATATATTAGAGTGGGACAACTACTTGTTTGTTGGTACCTTTCTGGGCTAATGCGTTTTGCATTTGTGGATTGTGTGTTTTGTGGATCTTCAGCGCTGGATCTGTGTTTGTGTGTGTTTCATATATATATTATTTTTTTTGAGTGCTAGAACATGCATGTGGTAAGACCTATGTGTAGCAATCTCTCGTTGCTTTGTGTATAGCGAGAGGACTTTTTTTTTTAGATAGCGAGTGGACTTCCTTTTGAACCGCGAGAAGCAGAATGGAATTGGCTGAGCTTCGACATTTCTCATTTATTCGAGCCTTCTATTCAGATTCCATCGTGTTTCATGGTCCACATTTTTCAGTTTGGGATCCCTTTGCAGATTTCAGGTTTCGTTTTTTCCGGTTTTCAGTGTATAAGCTAATATAAATACAATAATTTGTGGTATATACATGCTAACCCTAAATGTTTTTGTACAATATAAAATATGTGGGGGTGCTTAAATAGGTATAGCTGCTATATGTATATATAAATATATGTTTATACAAATTACATAATATTAGTAACAGGTTATTAATTTTTTTTTTGAGGTGGTAGAAGGGCCATTTCCCAGGAGAATGTTAACCCAACAAAAAAAAAAAAAAAAAAAAACCACAAGGAAATAACAGACTAAGTGGCGTACGGGGAGCAGTAGTGACCATCCCGATCCTGTGATCTTCGACGATTATCGTTCCGGTTGCAGTCGTAAACGGAACGGGGACCGGGAAGACCGGGTAGACCGAAACCACGGGCACCCAAACCGTACTTACTGGTGGCATTGAACGGCTCTGAGTACGGATCCTCCGCTGGCGGCGGCAGCTCCGAGTACTCGCTGGGTATAAGCGGATGCTGCTGCTGGTCCGGCTCCTGATAGATGGGCTCATCTTGGTCATAGTCTCCGCACTCGAACGCACTGGGTGCGCTCGGCGCCGAGATGTGATGATGGTGATGATGATCCACCGATCCACCGGCACCGATTGTCGACATGCCATAGTCGCCGCCACCGCTGGCCGACATCGGTGAGCCGCTCTCATGGCACTCGAGCAGATGGTTCGACAGGAGATCCTTGATAGACGACGATTTGTGCGGAATGTTCTGAACAATTTCACAAGTGCGCTTAAAACACTCATCTTCAGTAAATGGACCATTCTTGATCAGCTTGTTGATGGCCTTGCGCGTCTGATCGTTCTCGCTGAGCTTCTCCGCTGCCAGGAGCAACTGTCGTTTGGTTTCCTCCGCAAAGGCACATTTTTTCATCCGCGCCTGACCACCGCCACTGGGACGCAACCGGGTTACACACACAATTCCGAGGTAGATAACCAAGGATAGAATGAGGGTGACACCAACCACAATGCAGGATATCCATTTGATGCTCAAGAGGCTGGCAGTGCCGCTCAACTGGTCGCTCTCCGATTGTGTCATCCACAGGCCTTCGGAGCAGTGTCGTGTGCCATTCCCGCCACAGGCCTCGTGCTCAAACCGTCGCCGATCCACGGTGGTGGCATTGAAGCAGCTACGATCCTCCGACTTGAGCGGACAGAGAATCTCCGAATCCAGATCATGGTCGGTTAGTGTCTTTAGCCATGCTTTGGCATCGCAAGAGCAAATCCGACCCACACGGATCCGGTGGACACCACATCGGCTGAAATTCAGGCTGCCATGCTGGGGATCCTCCAGCTGATTGTTGGCAAAGGAGCAGTTCAGGGCACCTATCGGGGCACTGTTCACCTCGAAGCGAGAAAAGTGTCCAAAGCGATTGTTCTCAATCTCCACCTGGGATGCCATGACCACGTTCAACCAGTTGGGTTCCATGTGGCGCACCGTATTGTTGCGTATAAAAGTGTCCACCGCTGTTATACGAATCGCACCCGATTGGATTTTATCAATACTGAAAGGGAAGACAAAGATTATATAGGATGACTTCGTCTACAAGTCTACTCTTAAGGACTCACGTGTTGCCTCGAAGTGTGAGGGTGGTGATGCCGCTCTGGTTGATTGCCTCACCCTCAATGGTTCCAATCACCGTGCTCACAAAGGACACATTCTCGCTGTGCAGCTTGTCGGTTAGAGCCTGGGCCTTAATGGTCGTTATGTTGCATTGCTCAAAGGACAGCTCCTTGATCTTGGTCACATCGAAGGCATTGCGGCCAATGGTGCCAATGTTGCAGCGCACAAAGCTCACCTTGCTCATGGACAGATCAAAACGGCCAATCTCATCGATGTTAGAGTCCTCAACGCGTAGCTAAGAGATTAAGATGAATTAGTAAATTAAAATCAAGGATTAATCTCTTTTGTAGTTATACTCACATTTATGCCATTCTGGGCACCGCCATGACTAAAGGCCTTCTCGTTCAACTGAAGATCCTTGATCCGCCGGAAGGTACAGTCCAGATTGGCCATGGTAAAGGCATTGGCGAACACCACCAGCAGCTCGGTATCCTCCACCAGCAGCTTGAACTCAACAGCTGAAAACAAACGATGAAGAATCACTTGAAATTTTCTGGATCAATCAATCGATCAATTATCCTTCTTACCGGACAATGTCTTCTCCTGAAGGTAAACTCGCGATACTTTGCGAAACTCTATATTGGGAAAGCCACCCTTGTTCCGGCTAAAGGCATTTTGGGTAACCTCCACCCTATCGTTGTCCTTCACCCCGTTGACCCCAAAGTAATTCACTTGATTGTCCTGGAAAAAGTTCTGGAACAAACGGAACTCAATGCTGGGCCTCAGATACACCTCAATGGACTTGATCTTAACGGGCACTCGGTACTTGGAGTCCCAATCCGGTGACAGCTGTTATAAAAGTTGTAAAAGAAAAAAAAAGATGAAATTAAGAAAAAATACTTTTCAAGGCAGAACAAATAAGGAATCTCTAGACTCTAGTGAGCCAAAAATATCATGCTATTTAGCACTTCTTTTGGCCGTAAATGACTAAGACAGACCATGGGCTATTAAACATCATTCGTGCACAAAAACTGGAAATTGCTGGCAGACGAGAAGCGCTTTTACTTATTTTATTGATGTTGCTTCTGCTGTTGCCGGGGGGTTGTGCCGCTTGACTTACATTTCTTGCGGTCTGTATACACGGGATGCCTCTCGCCAGTTGGTCCCGCCTCCCTTTGGTGTTTTATTTTTAAACGCAGTGTCTGCGACAACAACAATGGGCAAAGTAGCAGCACTCACAGCAGCAGCAGCAGCAGCAGCAGCAACAGCAACAGCAGCAACACTAACAAGAGCCACATCAGACGACAACAGCAACTTGACCGCAACGCGTTCATTGCTCCAGCCATCCAGCGATCCAGGAGAACCCCAACTGGAACTCGAACTCAAACTCGAACCATCACCCCGAGGGTGCAATTTTCTCATTAAATTAAGTGAAAATAGTTGCAAACTCAAGTGGCCGCAATGATGGTGCGATGGCGATGGCGATGACGAGATGTCCACGACGCTGATGATCTTGTTGTTGATCACACGTCGGGTCTGGGTAGCTCTCTCGCATTATTATTATTGCATTAATGAATCTGGATAAAGTGAACGGAAATCAGAGCTTCTCAAGTTAATCTCTGTGATATATTTGATAAGAGTTTTAGGAGTTGAAAGTAAGGGGAAATAATATATTAACTCAGATTAACTCAGATTGTTACTCAAATAGGAAAATCAAAGATCGTTTCATTATAAATACCCAAGTAAGAATACAGATGCACACTGGTGTATAATATAGATTTTGTTGATGTATGTAGATCCTGTAGATACAGTTTGTATAGCTTATTTATGAAATCATATTAATAAAGATATTAAAATTCTCAAGTATAATAATAATTCTTGGCTAATTTCTTTGTTTATTTCAAGCTTCAATTTATATAAACTAACTTTCCTAACAAAAATAGCTAGATATAATATTTTTAATATTATTTTTCTATTTAATTTAAATAGTAAAACCTTTAACTAATTTGCATTTTGATTGTTTAGTTGACTGATTCACTTTTGAATCACTAATTTCTTACTGCGCAGCACAGCAGCAGACTAACGCTTCCGATAAGAGCTTTGTTTTTGTTAAAAAAAAAAAAAAAGAAATAAAATGGTAAACTATTCATGCAAGTCTGTCATTGCCACAAATGGTGAAATACTTGTCAGGAAAAGAAGTTCCATAACTTGGGCTAATTTTAATGGAATAACAAAAATTACAAACATTAAAGAACCAGAAAATCCCTGAGAACATAAACATTTATTTGTGGATTTGAGTGAATAAATAACAATATTTTGAGGTTTTTGCGTAAATATGCCGCTTAAATTGTTGTATTCTTAATAAGCATAAATAAATCTACTCTAGTATCAGCTGCAATTGGGATTTGTTTACAGAGCAGAAGGCGCCCGATTGTCCATATCTTTGGTTCCCTGCAGTTTTGCAGCAAAATCGCTTATCAAGGGCAAATATATCGGATGACGGCTGTCTGACTTGGAGTTTCGTTCGTTTTTGGCTGTCTTTAGCTTTATTGGTTTGAATTGTCTTGTGTGAATAATCACCCACATATCGCCCTTCAAGGGAGGTGTCTACGTGCCTCAGTAACCTCACACTCACAACACAACAACAACAGCTTTCTCAGACACTTTTGTTTAGCTTCGAAAGACCATTTTCCAATAAACAAAAAACGTTTATTTTGAAATTAAATAATACTAGCTTATACTTTAGAGATTATATTAATATTATTATATTATATATAGTTTTTTAATATGATTTGTCACTAGGAAATGAAATATATTTTATTCAAATTAGGGAAAAAATAGTTTTTATGAAACCTAAAATTTAAATACTATTTACTCAATGAAATATATACTTTTTAATTACATGTTTAAGATAATGTGTTAAAAGTATAACTAAATATTAACTTGTATATATCTTTTTACCTTTATTTATATCTTATATATATTTTTTACCTACATTTATAGTTGATTTTAATTTAATAATTCCTGTTTCTCTAAGACTTGCAAAGGTATCCCTTAGATTTGATCTGTTTTCTCTATTTTTATCAAATTGAAATTTTTTTTGAATTGTTATTTGTACTACTAACTCTTTTTTTTTTGTGTGTTGTCGTTAATCAAATTTGTAATTTTCATGCCATAATAATATAAAGTGTGTGGGGGAGGAGAAGGTGGGAAAATGAGAGCCATTATAATGCAGGCCGCGATCCCAAAAGTCGGGCCACCACCAGACCAAAGCCACCTGCTTCTTTTTTGTCTGGCCTCGTTGGGGAGGTTCAATGTCTTTGGATCCGAACCTGAATCGAAATCTTTAGCTGCAGCTGCGCCAGCTGGTTAGCTTGGCTCCCCCTGGGGTCCCTTTTCCCCTCGCACTTGTTGTCGTCTCTTCTTTTCTTGACTAGATTTCTGGCCTTCTTAGTCGTTGTGATATTGCATTTTTTACACAAAACAATATTTGTAATATATTTAAAAAAAGTATATTTTATTTTCATGTTCCTTTTTTTTAGCATAAACAAAAGAATTAATGTAAAAGAAATTATGTAAAGTTTAAATAATAATTTACAAATTAATTGCAAGTTTTTAACTCTCTTTAAATAAAATCTATTTAAATAAAATATATATAAAAATAGTTAAGTATTTTTTGGATAATTGCTTTTATTATTCTTCATTCCCCCTTTTCTCTTTTTCTCGCTCTGTTTGCGCGCTTCTCTCTGGGCGCAATTTCTTTCAATTGCTCCAGTTTCTCTCGCTCTTTCCTCGCTCTTTTTCCTCATCTTAAAGAGGAAGTCTCAATTACGTGTGAGTTTTAATTTGCTTGTTTGTCTGACAGACAGTTTTTCCTTTCCTTTTCCCCTCTCCACCGTCCATCTTCCACCTTCCCTCCCTCCCTTGTTTTCCATCCCGTCCCCATTGGTTTCAAGTTTATGAGAACCATCAGTCCCGAGGCCGGGAGCTGGAAAAACAAACAACATTGCGGATGAAATGGCTGAAAAGTTTATGAAGTTCGAACTCGTCAAGATATATATCGCCATGAATTATAGGAAACTACAGCTGTGTTCACGGAAATAGCAGTGCGACAGAGGGAACAACTTCAAAACCTTTTTTTGTACATATTCCTTTTTGCAAGCTGATCTATTGCACATTGTTTTTGTTAAATGGAACATAAAGATAAGAATCGAGAAAAAATTCCGTTAGATTTGCTCTATTTTTATGTTTTATTGATATTTTTTCACATATGCAGCTCGTTTTGGCCGATCACTGAAATAGCAGTATTTAATTTTCTTTCGCAAAAAGTGCCGAAATTTCTATTAATTTTGTAAAAAATGAGTTTAATTACGGTCGTTATTATAGTTTATTATATAATACACCTTTACAACGCAAAAAAAAATATTTTAGTGGGCGCAGGACCTCACTGCTCCATGAGAGAAGGGTATCAGAGAACTTAGCCTAGAAAGAAGGGCAAAACATGTAAAGAGACTCCAAATCTTTCAGATTGTTATTTTAGAATAGTTTATAAATCATAAAATATGAACCGAACCCAAAAAAACCGAGGTACGATTCGCAAAACCACAGTTGTACAGGCTCGACGCGTACTTCGCTTCAGCAAAGCTCGTCCTTTTGCATCCTCTAGGGATATATGAGCGGGAATTGGCATGGGAATCAGTCATGGGACCATTCGCCGGGGACTTATTGAATAAATTTTAGATTCGCGAAGTCCATGGAAAATGTCACTGCTTGGTTACAAGCATATCAAGGCCAGATCCGAGTTCGCCAATAGCCACTTGAACTGCCACTATTCAAATGGCGTAATATCCTTTGGACAAATGACTCCAAACTGGTTTTATTTGGTGGAATAGGACAAGACAATATGTCCGTCGACCTCCAAATACAAAGTACCACCCAAACCATACGCTGAAGACAGTAAAACATGGTGGCCTAAAAATCATGGTTTGGGTATACTTTTCATACAACGTTGTAGGTCCCGTATATATGATCGGTGGGATCAAAGACCATTATGTTTATGTCTAAATATTAAAAACTGTCTTGCAGCCGTATACTGAGGAAAATATGCCATTAATTTGGACGTTTTAGCAGTACAGTGACCCTAATCATACCATCAAGGTGGCCAAGGAGTGGGTTCTTAATGAAAAAGTGGATGCAATGCCATTGCCTGCACAGTCCCCGGATATAAATCCGATCGAAAACTTATGGGGGACATCAAGGGCTACGTATTAAAGAAGTTTCCGACTTCTAAGCCGCAGCTTTGGCAATTTGTGCAGGAGGAATGAGGCCATATTCCCCTCAAGCGTTTCTAAGACTTGGTGGACTCCTTGCCACCCAGGTATGAGGCTATGATAGCTTCTAAAGGCTATTTAACAAATTATTAGATCATAGTCAATTAGAATTTAAGAAGAAATAGGTTTCTTATACGATATTTTTAAATTTATGAAGAATTTTAGTTTTTCACTGCTATTTCAATGATCGGCATAATATAGACCTTTTTTGTTGATATTAGCTATATCTTCTAAAGGGTTTATGTTACCTAAATTAAATGATTGTGGTATTGTTAATAATTAAATATACTAAGCTTTTATGAAAAAAAAATTATGAAAATAGTGTTTGTAACAGGATTTTCCGATCTTAAACGTGCAGGTCGTTGGGCACTGCTATTTCCGTGAACACAGCTGTATATGCCTAATGCACTGAGCAAAATTTTAAGCATCATAATACAACAGTTTTATGCTTGTTTTAAAGAATTAATCGAGAGTTTACAGGTAGAATTTTGGCTTTGAAAATAATACATATATTTTGAA